CTCTACCATTCCCGCGGGGTGGTCTGGTTTTTTTCTTACCCCCCCGGCGGGCGGGCATCTTCCTGTTGGTTGTTGTGTTCGTTTGCCGGGGGGGGGGGTGTTTACGCAGGTCACGGTTCTTTTTTCTTACGCAAATTGTAGATATTGAGACACACGAACAAAAATGATAATCTACGCATATATCAAAACTGCTTTCTTGGATTCAAGTCATTCAATCCATCGATTCTGCCTTTCATTTTGACGGTGGCAGTGCCGTTACTTTTACTCCAAGGCGACAAGAACAATCCGCGTATGTACTTTTAATCAGCGGGTTAAGTCACACCGTTTTTTGTCACGTAGCACAAACACTGGAAAAAAAGAGTTACATTTCTCGTTAGTTCTATCCGTAAACGTCTCTTCTTGCGGTTGAAAAGGTCTACGTAGTCTACTCTACATCGTTTTGCTTGGCTGATGTCGCTTGGTAGGTAGAAGGATGGAGTTAGAACCAACAGACGATACAACCAACCAGAACAAACCTTAACCGAATTAAAGACACCGTTTACCGAGCGAATGTTACCCTTGGGTTGGGCTGCCTCCTTTCCAAGCTTCCAACTGCCATTTCTCGCTATGGTAAACCGCTTTTTAGTCTACTCTGAACATTCTGCGGCGTTGTGCGCCTCCGCCCTGCGTCTTTGCCGTAAAAGCTTCATTTTATAGTTTTTAGTGTTATAAGTGCCCTTCTTCTCCGGGTGTTAGCGGCGGTTATGTTTTGAGTGTATGATGTGTGGTACCCCGGAATACGGGATGGATGATCCTTCCTTTTCGGTTTCCGTGAAATCCGTTGTACACACACATAAAACTTGTTTTTATCGGCCGAGCCATACCACATTATAAATAATCATAGGCAGAGAGTCAGTAGTTATTTGCAGCGCCGGAGATAATTTCAGGGGAGATGACAAATTTCATATTCAGGTTTGTTCATATTTTTGGCATGCAGTAGGTATAGCCGTATAGGTAGGTGCTGTCTTTGGTGATATTTAATGCCAAGAATAACCTGCTGGTGCACAACATCTGGGGAGACACGCATGCACGTAGCCAAGCAATCATCTAAAAAGATTTGAGAGTAACTGATTCCATTTGTATCGTTGCATATGTCGTCTACCCCTGATTAAGGACAAGAAACTAACGACGGGAAGGATTTTCGTTCCCTTGATTTCGAAACCAAGCTTGCATCTTTGCTTTGAATCACATCCACAACGGACAACCAACTGCCGTAAAAGGGAAAGTGGGCAACAAACAATGTAAAACGGTATTGACGCCTTCTGATTGATCAAATTGCGATGTGGTGGCTTGCGCCATGGTCGGTACGGAGCGGCGCAATGAACAATGTTTATTTTTGTTGTTCCTTCCTCTATCTCTCGGACGGGAGCGAAAAATCCGTGATTACTCCCGCTCTCGGACCCGAATCTTGACGGGCTCGGCCGGGACGGAGCTTGGCTTAGGTAAGGCAAGAGTTTGTTGTTCGTGTTGGGGGCCGTTTGGGGGAAAGGGGGCACTTGGCGTGGGATATCATTTTTTTTTAACTTCCTTATTTTTGATTTCGGTTCTTCCGAACCTGAAAGATGTCAATCATGTTTGAAAGTCTAAATGGCTGGTTTGTATGTGGCGAAAAGCAAAGGAAACGCCGGAGTGTTGTTTGTTGACAGACGGGTGGCGGCAGTCGGGCCACTTCCACAGTCCGAAGGACAACGGTTTGTCAACCAAACCGATCAGTGCAAAAAATGCATTAAAAGGGAAAGAAATGTTTTAGAATACTTTGTAACCTATAAGGCACGAGACGGGACACCGAGTACCAGAATCCAGTGTGCCCACTTGCCAGTTGACAATATAATGCACACTTCCGGATATCCTTTCAACAATTCAACCAAAAACTCCCATATAGTGTAGTGGTTTAGCATTCCAGATTTTCAGGGTTCACTCCAATCTTCTGGCGACCCGGGTTCGAACCCCGGTATGGGAATTATTTTTGCACATTCCTGATCCATATCTTTCTCCATGTTTGCTGGGATGGCACTGGTTATTTGTTACTTGAATTTCTTTTGAATTGCATCTTTCCAATTTTGGGAAATGCTAATCTTGTCTCCTTTTCGTACAACGGCATGTGTGGAGATGTCCTAACTTGATGCTACTTTCTCGATGGATTCACCGCCACCGACATGGTTGGCCTGTCCTGCAGGAGGCGGGCCGACGGTGGGATCATCTCTCCAGTTCCTTATCCTTGGACGGCGGTTAAATACCACTAGTTTCCAGCAGCCGCGATGGATCATGCTCTGCAACTAAGCTGCATCCAAGGAATCGTGGAGGAAACGTCTGGATTGGTAGGTTCACTCTATTCCTGGGCCCTGACATGAACAACACCATCCCGCCCACCTTCCCTCCAACAAGTACCAACATGATCTTATCATTGGGCGCATCATGCGCCAGTAAAACAGTAGCGTCTGCTGCGCCTATAGACAGTGTATCATTGGTCTGTGCAATGACAGAGATCTACTCACATGGAGGTCGTAGGATTATGTGACAGGTGATGGGAATGAAACTTGCCCCTGAGCCTGAGTATGGAGTCTTCTATTGGTCTATCTTTAGATGGCTGATTACGAAAGCTTCCGAAGATACACATCCAGGAGTTGGGTACTGTCGGGAGCTTTCATCTGCCAAGCCAATGGCCAGTGTACATCCCTTGTTGCAAGTCCCTAAAAGAGATAAATTCCCTGTTCAGATCAACATGGGTAGTGTCACAGACAGCCACTTTGATGTCCTCGACTAATCTAGTCAAACCGTACATGGTAAGCAGAAAGATTCTACTAGTTCGCTGTGAATTTCACAAGGTTCTTAGGCAGGTATACTCTTCAGATCACAGGGAAATTGGGTAAGAGGAAGAAGGAAGCTTGCATGTAAATCTTGTTGGGTGTTCCAACATGATTCATATATGTAAACGGCTTTCAACCGGATACCACAGCTAGAACACCAGTATCCATAGGTAGTCTACATGAAAGATTCTCACAACTTTCTGCCAGGTTAAACCTACTCCGCACCATACCCACTCGGTCCTGTCTCTTCTTCCTCAGTCTCTTGCGGTCCCGTCGGTCCATACCTATCCATAATCAACTGCGTCTTCAGCGAGTCCTGCGGGACCAACCACCCATTTTCTTTCAAAAACACCTCCAAAGCATCATGCTTCTCCTTCGCCTCGATACTACTATCGCTCTTGAAAGAAACCTCAACAACATTAACCAAATCCTCTGATCCCCACTTCTCTTTAATTGGCCAAACCTCAACATCCACTTCCGTTCCCTCCCACTTCCCCTCGTACCTCTTTGCATACACCGGCCCAAACACCACCCCATCCTTCAACAACCCAGTTCCCCAGGCCTCAAACTGCCAGTTACTAAACTTACCAGGCGCCTCGCCAATCAACAGCTTTCTCGACTGTTCTTCATCGGGCAGATCCATCGCTTTCTTCTCTACGCTATCCTTCTTGACGTTCTTCTTACGACTGATAGACAGAGTCTGCTTCGCGAAGCCCCATTCAACTTGGGCCTCATATTCACTGTCCGAGGCACCGAAGCCATCTCCCAGAGCTACAAGAAGGGTGTTTGCAATGTCATCCGTGGAAGGATTTCCGTCGTTGCCAATGGGGTATCGCTTCTTGTAGGTCAGCTCCCAGCCTGCTTTGCCTTCGACCTTGCGGACGCGAGGGGACCAGCCGGCGTTGTAGAGCTCCTTGGCGGGTGTGTCGAGGAATTGGACGTTTATCTTGATGGTTTTGTCCGCGAGGGACAAGGCGGAACGAATGGCATCGGTTGGTTTGCCCGCTGACGACAAAACAACTGAGGAGTCGAGGAGGAATTTGACCTCAAAGTCGGGGGTCATTGCTGATGATGCTGAGAAGGTTAGTATTTGTGGTTCAAAAGGGGGAGTGATAATTGAACTTACCGGTTGCCATGATTGCAGTGACAAGATGCTTTGCCCAAGATTCAATTTGATGCCTCAAGTGAGGATGGGAAAAAAGCTGGAAACACTTTGGTTCAAAGCATCGAGAGCACCGCGAACATTTGTATCCCCAATTCACACATACTATTTCATCTCATTTTTTTTTCGTCGGTAATTGCGCCAACGTCGCCCCGTTTCAATAACTCGTCTATCAAAGTGACAGTGGCTGGCTGATTATGCAACCACTCCGTCCCGTCACGGGTCAATGACTGGCTAAAATCCTTTCTCAGCTCCGAGACACCGCATCAACCATCGTGACACCACCAATGAGCTCCTTTTCTTTAATTTCGTCACACTCAGCCCTATCGTTAGCAAGATCGAATCTACATATTGGGAATCTGAGCTCGTGATCAAAGGAGGTCTCACACAAATGCGGGTAGAACGAAAATACTCAATGAAACGGCCGGCATATGTCGGGTGATGCCGATTTTTGTCTCACCCAATTTCCTCACTCGTGATCAAATTATCAAAATCAGTTTCAAGTCAAAAGTGTGCGATTGTCCTAATGAAAATCAGGTACTTTCATAGATCTCGTCGGTACTTGCACGTTGTACATGTACATGTATACGGGACTTGGCAACATCGAGAAATTGCAAGTGGTCGTGATCCATTGCACACTAAAATTCTGTCAAACATTAAAAACACTAGATCATCTTCTTAGATATTTCTTGTTGCATCAGATTCGTCATCACTGTGTGTTGACTCTCAACTCGGACATCCCTGCAACCATCAACTTGTAAGTAAGTTTCGGATGTGTCCGGCATCAATTGGCTCAATGGTCTAGTGGTATGATTCGTGCTTCGGGTTTTCCCAGCACCTGGAAACAGGTGTCAGTAATGTGCGAGGTCTCGGGTTCGATCCCCGATTGAGCCCAATAAACTTCAATTTTCATATTTTTTTCCTCAATCTTTACAACTCCTTTTTTGCAGTCACCTGGTTTTGCTCAATATTTGTTTCCTTTTGAAATATCATTGAATTACAATAACTCCTATCCTATGCATGTTGACCTAATGAAAAAAGAGAATCCCACTGTTCATGAACAGTATCGCCACCATGACCAACCCCCGATTATCACGAACAATCCCATTCCACCATAACATAATCCCTCTGATTCAATCCCTTGACATCCATCTGCAACATAATAAAGCACAGGCAGACACACAAAAAAAGAATTTCACCAAGTAGTAGTCCGTTTCTGTCTCATAAAAAATTGATGTTGTATTGGTCTCGCACTAAATAAAATCAGTCAGTCTCTCAATCTAATCAACCCCCTCACTTTCACCAAACCTGGATAAGAAAAAAGAAGAGAGAACCTACTTCTTGGGTGGAGCAGCAGGGCTCTCACTCAACATGTCCTCAAAAGTCGTGGCCGCTCTCCGTCTCGTTCCAATCGGGCGATCAGGATCATACGACAAACCACGTCCTCCATTCTCCTCAACACGGCGTGAAGCAGAGGCAGAAGAAGATGCACCAACACGCTTGCTAAGCATACGTGCAATCTTCCCAACCTTCTTGATCACACCAGTTCCACCTCCTGAGGATTGAGACGGCACACTCGGCGGAGCAGAAGTCCGTTCAGTGTGCGTAACATTCACACTCTCTGATTTCTCATCAGCAAAGGGATTCCCATCATCATCCTCATCATCATCATTCTCAACAACAGTCCTCGACTCATTATCCCATGATGATCTCCTACCGCGAGACGCAAATCCCTCACTAAAAGTAGAGCGTGATTGAATCCGATAGGGAGTCGCAGTATGCTCTCCACCCGAATTATCACGAATCACAACCGGACTGACAGGCGTGAATGATGCGGTATCATCCTCGTCATCAGATGGAGAGATAGGAATCAACTGCCCATACTTTTGTCCAGGATGAGTTTTATACCGCTTCCCATCAATTTCCGATCGATAGAAATACGTTCCAGAGTCGGCGTCGTATCCATCACGGGAAATTCCTGTTGGAAGTCGGTCCGAGTCGTCGCCGTCAATTTGCCACTTGCGCGCCATAATGAATTCGGTGGAAATTTGTCTGTGTACACTGAAGACGATGTTAAATGCTTTGATGAATCAATCACAAAAGCGGGGTTGCTGACGATGGATGGATGAAGGATTTCTCGTGTGGGATGATGTTGTGGGTGGGTGTGCCTATTAAATAGACCAAACAGGCAAAGGTCGATGTGACCTGAACAGTGTGGACAGAAAAAAGCTTGTTTGTGAAACAGATGGTATGTTCAGTGAAAAGATAATTTCTGTGAATGGTGAAAAAACGTCTTGTTCAAGAATTGACAAAAAAGTTGCCACTGGTAACACCTTTTTTGCATTGCAGGTGCAGGACGGGAAGGTGGTTGTCGCACAATTCGGCAGGCCGTGAACAACGACTGCCGAATAACGGGCATTTTCAAGGGGCCGCCTGCAACTGCAAGTCCACTCAAAAGACAGTTGATGTCGTGTGCCTCGTGTCACCATGGGCCGACGGCTGAGCCAGCACCATGCATGGCGGGGCTAGGTACACAAAATGTGTATGTATTGGGCTGTTTTCACAGACACTGGACGAGTGGACATTTCAACACTGCAACTTTGCATGGATTTTGAGAACAAAATCTGTCAAAATTGCTAAGCACCACACTGCCACGTAGTTTGGCTGTCTCGTATTGTCTGACAGTCAGCCGTTACAAACTAGCATTCTGGTTGCAAGCCCTCCGACTTTTTGTACAAAACAAAAGGCCTATGCTACACATCAGAGTGATCAGCACCGAAAGAGACATGCCTAGCGCCGGTTCTGTCTCGTGACGTCAGACCGTATCACAGGCTTTTGGGCTGACAAAAAAGACTGCTCGATACATTCACCTGCATTTTAATGCCCGTTGTCGTACCTGGATTCAGAAACAGCATCTGCAAAGAGTCACATGGGAAAGTAAAAAGCGTGCAACCAATCAATCAGGTATATATGCAAAATGGTATAATCCAA